CAGGGGCAGGGGCTAAAGTGAAGAAGTCAAGAAGAGAGTTGATAAGAGCATGGGAACCTTAAGAAGCAGAAAACCCTGAAAGACGTTTCTGGGATGCTGAGGAGATGCCCTGTCCTGCACCATGGGCAGAGCCTGGGGATAGTCAAAGCAGCATTGTGATGAGTGACAGGACCAAATACCACAGAAGGGCAGAGGCAGGCGAGGACGAAGGTGAGTCTGATGGATTTAGCAGACAGGCGGAGAAAAGTTTCAGAGGCTGGTCAGCATGCCCACATGTTGCTTTATCTGAAGTACAGGGCCCACATTGGTGCTGAGAACTCAGGAATTCTGAGAGCCCGTGGCACTCCAGCTTCGGAAGAAATACCAGCCGCAGGCAGTCCTGTTTGCAGAAAGCTGTGCCCTCGAGTTCCCTGCTCTTCCCGTGCCTCCATTTCAGTGTTGACTAGTGTCCTGGTTAGCTTTTTGTTGCTGTGATAGAGACCACGACCAGAAGCAACTTTGGGAGGAAAGGGTTTATTTCATCTTAAAACTCCCAGATCACTGTCTGTGATAGGGAAGTCGGGTCAAGAACTCGGGCAGGAACCTGGAGGCAGGAACTGAAGCAGAGGCCATGAGGAGGACTTCTTACTCGCTTGCTACTTTTGGCTTGCTCAGCCTGCTTTCTAGTACACCCCAGGACCACCTGGCATGGGGTGGGGGCACCACACACAGTAGGCCGGGCCCTCCTACATCAATTATCCATCAAGAAAATGCCCCCGGGCTGGAGAGATGGCTCAGAGGTTAAGAGCACTGGCTGCTCTTCCAGAGGTCCTGAGTTCAATTCCCAGCAACCACATGGTGGCTCACAGCCATCTGTAATGAGATCTGGTGTCCTCTTCTGGCCTGCAGGCATACTGTATACATAATAAATAAATCTTAGAAAAAAAGAAAGAAAAAAAAAAGGAAGAAAGAAAGAAAATGCCCCCACAGGCCTTCCTACAGGCCAGTTTGATGGAGGTCTGAGAACGGTGAGCATGTTTAGAAGAAGGGAGGAACAAGACTTTGCAGTGTCCCTTTCCTTCCTCAGTATGGAGGACAGGACCTGAGCTCTGCAGAAGTATTCACCAGAGGACAGGGAACACAGTCTGTGTCTGTTTGACCCCAAGTCATGCACCATTTTTGAGGCTCCATTTCAGTTTCATTGGTAAGATGAACAATTTTATCAATAAAATAGGATGGTGGTGGAAAATGTGGTTTTTTTTTTGCGGGGGGAGCGCATGGCGATAGTCTTGCTTGTGGCCTACAATGCCTGATGCTGAGACCTTCCTGCCACAGTCTCCCAAATGCTTGGAGAATAGGCATGCGAACAGGCCAACAATTGTCCGTCATCTTTCTCCAAACACTAAAACAAAGCAAAAGTCTGGGAACAGCTTAGGAGAAACTTAACAGAGCATCAGTGAGGGGGAGGGGCAAGGATGATAAAACTCAGTGTGCTGGTCCACAGTTCTCACTCCTGGAGTCTCCTTCATTCACTCAGAGGGCTGAGGATTTGGCCTGTCAGGTTTATGTGGCCAAAGTCAAGATGGAAATAGAATCAGTTACCCATTTGTATGATCCAGGGTGTAAAAACAGAATTCAGCTGTTAAGCTGGACAGGTGCACACCTGTAATCCCAGCATCAAGAGGCAGAGGCCTGAGGTTCACTGTTAAGTATGAGGCCAGCCTGGTTTACATAGTGAGTTCTAGACCAGCCAGGACTACATAGCAAGACCCTGTCTCAAAAACAAAACCAATCAACAAACAACAACAACAAATACACACATACACACACACACACACACACACACGCACACGCACACACACACGCACACGCACGCACGCACGCACACTCACACTATATAAACCAGGCTGGCCTCAAACTTATAGAAATCCACCTTCCTTTGCCTCCTAGTGCTAGGATTAAATGTGTGTGCTACCACTTCTTGGCTAGACCAATAAAACCTTGTAAAAACACAGTATGTCTATACAATATTCCGTAAATAAAGAAAATCTAAAAAAAAAAAAAAAAAAAAAACTAAAAAAAAAATTTAGGAGACAGTCATTCTCACTCCTACTAAGACTTGTGGGAGTTCTCATAAAGAGGATGTGGGGCTAGGGAGACGGCTCAGTGGTTTGTAGCACTGGTTATTCTTCCAGAGGACCTGGTTCAATTCCCAGCAACCACATAAAGGCTCACAACCACCTATAATTCTAGTCCCTGCGGTATCTGCTGCCATCTTCTGGCCTCTGTGGGCACTGCATGCACATGGTGTACTGGTACACAGACGTGCATAAAGAGAAAACACCCATACATGTTAAACAAACAAACAACAAAGGGTGTGGCAAGGTGGGTCGATGGATGAGCAGTAGGGCAACAATGCTTGATGACAAAAGCCTAAGTTCTCTGGGGCTCGGGAAGGTGTTTTAGTGACTGTGACCCTTGAGCAAATGGAGAAACCCTTTCCCACTTCCATCACCCGGAGACGCATACCTCACAGCTTTGTACAACGCAATATGATTGTTGTGACCAGTGACTCCTTCTGCATCAAAAGTCACCACCTGTAGGGACAGACCCGGGGAGGAAGGGCTCACTCAGAGCTGTTGGATGGCTTCACCGCTGCCTCAGCTTCAAAGCAGCCGTCACCACTCCTTTGGGGAAGGGAAGAGCAGAGCCTGAAACTCTTCAAATTCTGAGCAGCCCAAGCAGGTAGGTCTGTGTGTGGCAACTGTCAGTGTGTGGTTCGCTCTCCCACGTGCCTGGAGCTTGCTGATCAGGCTAGCCTGGCAGGCCAGGGGGCCTCTCTCTCCCTATGCTGGACTCATAAACACACAGCGCCATGCCTGGATTTTGTTTGTTTCCAACATGGGGCCTAGAGATCAAACACAAGTGCTCATGCTTGCAAGGCAAGCCTTTACTGACCGGGATGTCTCCCGGGCTCAGGCTACGGTTGCTGTAGGCTGGGGATGTGGCTTAGTTGGTGGAACTTGCCTAGCATGCATGAAATCCAGGGTTTGTTCCTCGGCACTGCGTAAGCTTTGATGTGGTAGTGCCTGTGTGTGACCCCAGTTCCTGGGAGAGAGAGGCACGAGGATCAGAAGGTTAGGGTCATCCTTGATCCACAATGAGTGTGAGGCCAGCCTGGGACACATGAGAACTTGTCTCAACAGATACTTGTTTCTTATCTGCCTGGCCACTGACTAGCACATTTATTTGCTTGGCTGGCTGCTGCACAGGCATTGTTCAGGCAGATGCAGCCTGATTCCCTGGGGTTCCTCTCCTCATGCCGTACCACAAGTACAACGTCCTGGACTCAAGCTCACGGAAGTCTAGCTTAGGCTGCCTCTGGGTTCATTTGCACAGACATCGTCAGTGTGATCATAGAAGAAACACAAGAAGACAGGATTCAGGAAAGGGACCAGAGATGGTTGGTTAGAGTGATGGGAACAGAAGGGTTGTCCCCAAGGACAGAAAGTGTCCTCGCACAGAAGAAGGGGCTAGAACTAGAACTAGGCAGTCTGGGAAAAGATTCATTCTTGCTGTTTCTTCTGTGATTATGAATTTTTTTTTTTTGAGATGTTTCATGTGCCTCAGTCTTGCCTTGAACTCTCTATGTAGCTGAGGCTAGCCTTAAACTCCTGGTCTCCCTGCTTCTACCTCCCAGGTGATGGGATTATAGACCTGTACCAATACACCAGGCTTGGTCTTTCTCTTTACACTGGAATGGCCTTGGCTACCATGAAAGCTGGGTCTCCTTCTCCAGGAGCACCATGGAGCGTTAGTGCCAGTTCAGGGTATTCCCTAGTCAGTCTCGTGGTGACAAGGAGAAGGGCTGTATGGCCAGGATAAATGTTCCCCTTTCTTAAAAGTAAGAAGCAGTTTTTCCTTCTTTCTTGATTTTTGCATTGCTGGGATTCAAACTCAGGACACTGTGCATACTAGGCAAGCACTTACCCACTGGGCTAGAAGCCCAGCCCTGAAACTCAGAACCTCTCTGGCATAGTCCTCCAACCATTCATTGGTCTCAGACCATCATTAGAAAGTGCCCCCGGCCAGGTGGCAGAGGTGGCACACACCTTTAATCCCAGCACGTGGGAGGCAGAGGCAGGCGGATCTCTGTGAGTTCGAGGCCAGCCTGGTCTACAGAGCATGAGATCCAAGACAGGCACCAAAAGTACACAGAAAAATCTTGTCTCGAAAAACCAAAAAACAAACAAACAAAAAAAAAAAAGAAAAGAAAAAAAAAAAGAAAGAAAGAAAGAAAGTGCCCCAGAGTCAGGAGCTCTGTTGAGGAATTTTTCTAGGCCCAGGCATCAGAACTGGGTTTTACTATTAAAAGAACACATTTCTGTTTCCCCCTAATCACCAGCAGATCCCTAGACTCAACCCATCAGAGTAAGGTTGCTCTGTAGGCTTAATAATACGCATGCTACACATGTCCTGCCTCCCTGGACCCTGAGTTGTTACTTCATGTAGCCAAAGGGATTTTGCAAATGTGATTAAGGATTTCAAGATGGAGAGGTTCTTCTGGGTGGGCTGGTGGGCTCAATGTAGTCACCGTGACCTTAACAGAGGGCACGAGAGGGTCAGAGGAAAAGGCCATGTGACAGGAAGCAGACATTGACACAGTGTCTTTGAAGATGGAGGAAGAAGAAAGAAATGGGACATGTTACTCATGCCTGTCATCCTGCACACTGCTCTGAGTCCGCCTCACCACCAGCTGCTGTAAAAGAAACTCAGCCCCTAAGGAGGACAAACCCATTCACCTATGTTCAAGACGTGAGGGCCAGATCTAGAAAGGCCCTGACTTCTGAGTTTGGAATGATGAGTTTTTTCTACAAATGGAGTGGCCAACAGCTCTAACACACAATGACGAGGCCGGGGTTGGGGGTAGTCCTCCGAAAGCCACTACCGTAAGAGAGCAGGGTGCTGAGGCAGAAAGATGGCTTCAGTGGCTAAGAGTGCTTCCTGCTCTTCCAGGAGACCCAGGCAACCACCTGAACTCTAATTTCAGGGGACCCAACACCCTTTTCTGGCCTCCATGCGCTCCCGCATACACAGGGTGTACATATGCTCACATAGGCTCATACTTACACATAACAAAAAGAAAAAAAGTCTTAAAAAAAGGTCTAATGGATCAATTCACTCAATGAAGGGGTCATTGACTGAAAAGCCCAATAGGTGGCTGGAGAGATGGCTCAGCGATTCAGAGCACTGACTCTTCTTCCAGAGGACCTGGGTTCAATCCCAGCAACCACATGGTGGCTCATAGCCACTTGTAATGAGATCTGGTGCCCTCTTCTGGCCTGTAGGGACACACACAGGCAGAATACTGTATATATAATAAATATTTTAAAAAAGATTATATAGAAAAAAATTTTAAAGCCCAATAGGCTTCTTATCCAGCAGTATCTATCTTCTAACAAAACTCAATCAAATGAGAAAGGCTTTGAATAGTAAAATTTTAGCTATTAACCTATGAAGAATTACTATTTTGAGATTTGGAAAATAAACCTTGGGAACTTTAAAGTGGACTGTTTCAGTCAGGGGTGGTGGTGCACACCTTTAATCTCGGCACTTGGGAGGCCGAGGCAGGAGGATTTCAACAGAACTGACTAAAAAAACAAAACAAAACAAAACAAAAAGACAACCTCAGGAAAAAACAAAATCTCAACGGATCAGGAATCTCAGGAACTTGACTGAGTGCTGAAGGAGGAAACAGGATCTCAGTGGCCCAGTTCTGATCGCCCAGTCTTCTAAAAGTCACCGTCTCGACCCAGTGGGACGGCGCAGTGGGGAAAGACACTGGTCCCCCAAGCCTGATGGTCTGGGCTCAATCCCAGAACTCACATAAAGATGGGAGGAGACAGATGACTCTTGAAAATTGTCCTCTGGGGCCGGGCAGTGGTGTCGCATGCCTTTTTTTAATCCCAGCACTCAGGAGGCAGAGGCAGGCAAATCTCTGTGAGTTCCAGGCCAGCCTGGTCTACAGAGCGAGATCAAGGACAGGCACCAAAGCTACACAGAGAAACCCTGTCTAAAAACCAAAAAAACAAACAAACAAAAAAATGGAGGCTAGCTGGGCATGCTGGTGAATGGCTTTAATCCTAGCATTTCCGAGACAGAAACAGGTTGATCTACGTGAGCTTCACTTGATCACTCATAAAGTCAAACATAAGTGGAAGGCGTGTCTGCTCTTCAGCGGGTTTAGCAGACAGCCTTTTAGAGTGGGCTTGGAGTAGGGCTGGGGTGGGGGGCAGCCATAAGACAAGCGGCAGAAGCCAGCCCATGTGACAGGACGGAGAGCCTGGGCTTTCCACTCAGAGTGGCATTGTCTTACCAGGTTGATGTCATTGACCTTTATGTGTTGGAGGAGGGTGCTGGCCACATGCTCTGTGTCCCACTGTACTCCGGGGTCATCTGGAAACTCACTGAAAGAGAGAAGAAGCACACTTGAAGGTGAGAATAACCTTCATTATTATTATTATCTTTTTTTTTTTTTTTGAGACAAGGTTTCTCTGTGTAGCCCTGACTGTCCTGGAACTTGCTGTGTAGACCAGGCTGGCCTCAAACTTAGAGATGTACCTGTCTCTGCCTCCCAAATTCTGGGATTAAAGGCATGTGCCACCATCACCATCACCACCACCACCACCACCACCACCACCACCACCACCACCACCACCACCACCAGCAGGCAGGAATAACCTTCTTGAGACCCAGTGGGTGTGTGCTCAGCTCTGTGAGGAATTACATCAGCATTTGGGGAGCTCCCTACCCTTCACATGCTCAGATGTCATTAGAGAAATAAGGCTTACAAACAAAACTGCTAGAAATCCAGGCTCATCACACACCACACACACAGCTCTCTTTGCTCCCAACCAGGCAGGCTGTCTACACAACCTACGGGGAGGGTCGATAACTGACCTTAGAACTCTGGGCCAAGAAGAGTCACAAGGTTTTCAACAGGAAAATGACAGGTGTCTCATCACTAAATCCTGTCATTATTGCCTTTGACTCACTGGCGACCTCTACCCCACATTCCCAGCCTTCTCTAGAGAGCCCAGGTCTGTCAGCTTGCTCAGGATGGTCCTGCAGTGAGCATGGCCAACAGCCCAGGGAGCAGAGGCTGGGCTTAGAGAAAGGAACACGGCTACAAAATCCAGCCTTGCTCCCTGGAGGTGCATTCCACAGCATGGTTCTGCAAGTCAGAGGACGATTTCTCTCTCTCTCTCTCTCTCTCTCTCTCTCTCTCTCTCTC